CACTGGGTGTTGTATGGAAACCAATTTGACAATAAATTTCATATATTATAAATAAATAAATAAATAAATAAATAAATAAATAAATAAATAAATAAATAAAGTGATTTTAAAAAAAAAGTCCACTGTTTAAAAAGTCACCTGTACCCTCTTCTATTGTCTTATCATTGCCCAGCAGTCCATTCTTGTGCAGTCCTTAGAACAGCCCATTGAAGAAGACAGCATTGTTGTCTTCATTTTACACATGAGGAAACTGAAACACAGAGAGGCTAAGCAACATTGATGGGGTCACATAGCTAGTACATCGCCAAACTGGCATTTATATGCAGGTAGTCTTGCTTCAGAGCCCATGGTCTTTTTTTTTTTTTTTCATGTTTTTATTTAAATTGTAGTTAGTTAACATACAGTACAGTATTGGATTCAGGAGCAGAATTCAGTGATTCATCACTTACATACAACACCCAGTAGAGCCCATGGTTTTAACCACAAACTTTCAGAAAGCCTGTATAGTATACAGGTGAACAGTATACAGATGAGTACTTGACATGTAAATATTTATATATACACAGTCACTTCATTCCCATTTTCAGATAAACTGAGATTGAAAAAAGTTAAGTGACCTTCTTGGTGTCCCAGCTAGTAAGAGGTATTTTGGCATTGCAGCTGTGTTTCAGGGACAGCGAATGTGTGGATGGTCATCAGGGTGCTATTTTTTTAAATGAAAATGTGTAATATTGGAGACAACAGTAGGTCTGCTCATTAAGTAAATTGTGGTACAATGCAAGTGAAACAACTATCTTTTTTTATGTTGAAAAATACTGTCAGGGGAAAAAAACAGCAAATAGGGGTGCCTGGTTAAGCACCTGGCTCAGGTCTTGATCTCACGGTTTGTGAGTTTGAGCCCTATGTCAGGCTCTGTGCTGACAGCTCAGAGCCTGGAGCCTGCTCTGGATTCTGTGTCTCCCCCTCTCTCTGTCCCTCCCATGCTCATGCTCGGTCTCTCTCTGACTCTCAATAATAAATAAATGTTAAAAATAATAATTTTTTTTAAAAAGCAGCAAATAAAAGGATTTTTTTAAACATATAAACATTTATCTGAAGGAAGACCTGTTTGCTCTTGGTTTATCTCTACACATTGAAAAAACATACTGTTTTTATTGATGAACATATTGAGACGTAAGGTGTTGTTCAAAGGAAATATAAGGAGGAATTCTTATTTTATGGTAATTTCTACTGTAAGATAGGCTTTATTAAAAATGATGTATGGGGCGCCTGGGTGGCGCAGTCGGTTAAGCGTCCGACTTCAGCCAGGTCACGATCTCGCGGTCCGTGAGTTCGAGCCCCGCGTCGGGCTCTGGGCTGATGGCTCAGAGCCTGGAGCCTGTTTCCGATTCTGTGTCTCCCTCTCTCTCTGCCCCTCCCCTGTTCATGCTCTGTCTCTCTCTGTCCCAAAAATAAATAAACGTTGAAAAAAAAATTAAAAAAAAAATGATGTTTATCTTTAAGTGCACAAATTCCTATTTTTTCTACCTGAGTACTTTCATTTTATCTATTACAAATATTTACAAAACTAGATTTCCTTTCATACATGATTTATGTTCTGTTTAATTTTCCTGGAAGCCGTTAGGAGGGGTCTGGTAACAATTAGTTTTTAAAAAAAGAAAAAAGAAGTAAATTCTTTTCTAGGAGAAATTATAACCTCCATGTTTTTCAACTCTGAAATTTTTAATCTATCTTCATATGTTAAAATAATTAATGTATTCATATTGGCTTTTTGTTTGCCTAGATGGCTGTTGTTGGCAGTTACCAAACTGATTTGGTAGAGTAATGGTGAATGAAGAGAAATGTGAAAACAGAGCAAAAGAAAGAACAGCTCTCTGCCCTCAGTTTTCCTTTATGCAGAAGCTAGAGGCTTATGCCAGCTGGAAGACTGTAGCAGTAGAGCTGAGGTAAATAAAGCAGGCATGGGCAGCTTCAGGCCATGTGACTGATCCTCTTAAACCAAAACCAAACAAGCTGCATAGGAACTTCTCAGTAGCGTTTTGCTACCTGTGGTTGGTTAATAGTGTAAGTTCAACCCTGTCCCATAGCTTTCATTCTGCTCCAAGAACTTCCATGAAGACACAGTAGGTCACAGAGGGTACTAAAGTGTATGGAGATGTGGAAAAGTATTTTAGTCTACTTCCAGTATCTCCAGTATCATATTGAGAGATTTCCTTTTTTTTTTTTAATTTTTTAATGTTTATTTTTGAGAAAGAGAGAGAGAGAGAGAGAGAGAGAGAGAGAGAGAGAGAGAGAGACCGAGTGTGGGTGGGGGAGGGGCAAAGAGGGAGACAGAATCCCAAGCAGGCTCCAGGCTTTGAGCTCCCAGCACACAGCCTGATGCGGGGCTCGAACTCACAAACCCCAAGATCATGACCTGAGCCGAAGTCGGATGCTTAGCCTACTGAGCCACCCAGGCACCCCAAGGGAGAAATTTTCTTTGTGATGCATCGTCACTTCACCTGAGAATTCAACAGGATGCTTAAAAATCTGACTACTCTTGGGGCACCTGGGTGGCTTAGTGGTTAAGCATCCAACTTTGGCTCGGGTCATGATCCTGCAGTTTGTGTGTCCGAAACTCACGGCAGGCTCTGCGCTGACAGCTCAGAGCCTGAAGCCTGCTTTGGATTTTGTGTGTCTGTCTCTCTCTGTCCCTACCCTGCTCATGCTCTCAAAAAGAAACATTACAAAAATTTTAATGTGTGTGTGTGTGTGTGTGTGTGTGTGTGTGTGTGTGTGTACATGTCACATATTCTTTATCCATTCATCACTGGATGCTGCCACAAACATCACGGTGCATGTACCCCTTTGAATCTGTATTATTGTATCCTTAGGGTAAATACGTAGTAGTGCAATTGTTGTATCATAGGATACTTCTATTTTTAACTTTTTGAGGAACCTCCATTCTGTTTTCCAGAGTAGCTGCACCAATTTGTTTTTGTCAGTGTTGTCAAATATTAGTTTCATTATCATTCAATTTTTTTCAGACATAACATATATGTTAAGGAAATTTTTTTAAATACAGATAAGCAAAAGAACATTTAAAAATATTACCCATTTCAAAGGAATTAAGATAGAAGAGGAAGAAGGAATCAGTAAAGATAAAAGATGTAATGACTATATTTCATCTGTTTTTAAGACGCACATCTTTTCAAATTTTAACAACTCTGAAATGAGGATATGTAGAGTTTGCCCTTTTTAGTGGGATATGTAACAGTGATGCTTCTCAAATCTAAAATTCAGTGTTTCGATTGTATTCAATGAAATACAGTAATTTGGGGGTATATATCTTTTTTTTTTTTCAACGTTTTATTTATTTTTGGGACAGAGAGAGACAGAGCATGAACGGGGGAGGGGCAGAGAGAGAGGGAGACACAGAATCAGAAACAGGCTCCAGGCTCTGAGCCATCAGCCCAGAGCCCGACGCGGGGCTCGAACTCACGGACCGTGAGATCGTGACCTGGCTGAAGTCGGACGCTTAACCGACTGCGCCACCCAGGCGCCCCATAGATCTTTCGAGGTAGAATAGCAACTCTTAGGGACTGAACTGCATTGTACAAATAGCTTGCACTGATTTGAGGAAGCATTTTTTTTTGTTTTTTTATTTTTTTAAATGTACATCCAAAGTAGTTAGCATATAGTGCAACAATGATTTCAGTAGATTCCTTAGTGCCCCTTATCCATTTAGCCCATCCCCTCTCCAACAACCCCTCCCATAACCCCCAGTTTGTTCTCCATATTTATGGGTCTCTTCTGTTTTGTCCCTCTCCCTGTTTTTTATATTATTTTTGTTTCCCTTCCCTTATGTTCATCTGTTTTGTCTCTTCAAGTCCTCATAGGAGTGAAGTCATATGATTTTTGTCTTTCTTTGAGTAATTTCACTTAGTATATTACTCTCCAGTTCCATCCGTGTAGTTGCAAATGGCAAGATTTCATTCTTTTGGATTGCCGAGTAATACTCCATTGTGTGTGTATGGATAGATAGATAGATAGATAGATAGATAGATAGATAGATAGATAGAT